AATATTAAAGACGGCCCTGCCTGGAGTTGCCACCAAACCTCCCTCTGTAATTTTTGCCAAGTTGTCACCCACTCCGCCCCCTGGTCTCTTAAGTTGTCATCCCTCCCCATCTCTTACCTTAAGTTGTCACACCTGTATCTGTGCTGCTAAGCTCTTCCCTTCACCATTTTCAATTCTTTTGAATCTTTTCATTCTCACTTCTCATCATGACCATTCAGCTCACGCTCTCTAGTTGTCCTCTTCTCTGTTCTGTGCCGACAGAGACACTCGGACAGAGACACTCGGACAGAGACACTCGGACAGAGACACTCGGACAGACCCAGTCTGGAGCTGATAGGTGGAAATGTTTGTTTTGGTTTTTACATACTGTACATTCAGGTAAAAAGTAAGTACACCCCAAGGAAATTGTTGACTTTTAAAAAAAATATTTGAACAGGAAAACCTTTTTTGGATCTTGATCCATGCAGTGCCTCCAGGTACGTGTGATATCCTTCTACAAATGACGCATAGAACGGACATGGGGTTATTTCTTTTCATCTAAATTAACGAAAATGCCTAATTGTCAGGTGGAAGAAGTAAGTACATCCCAACGTTTGCCACCGCTTCAAATCCATAAAATTAGAATCCGGTGTTCCAGATTAGGTGCCAATGATAAGAACCTGCTTACAGAGTATGCAGGTGGAACCTGTTCTGTGTAAACCTCCAGATATCTGGGGCCAAGGGTTCTCTTTGTTATATACATGTGTGGTGTCACCATGCCAAGATCAATAGAGCTCTCTAAGCCCCTCAGAAAGAAGTTTGTGGATTCCTAGGAGTCTGGCAACGGGTTTGAAATCAATCATTTTACTGTAAAGAAATAATCTACTTGCATAGATATCAAACTGCTAATCTGTCCAGGACTGGCCGGACCAGCAAATGCAACCCAAGAGCTCAACGTTTTGCTGTTGCAAGAAGTCTCCAAAAATTCATCCTGGGATCTTCTGGTAACTCTTAATGACAGTTGTTGTCAATTACATGTATATACAATCAGAAAGAGATCGCACCAATTCAACCTGCATGAGATGTGTGAGAAAAAGCCTTCACTGTCCACAAAGAACATTAGAGCAAGACTACAATTTGAGCGGGTCTTCTGGAACAATGTGCTGAAGATTCATCAAAGATTGATTGAGTGTGCTTGATGAGAATGTGGGGCCATCTGTCCAATTGGTGAAGTTGAACCAGAAATTGGCCTTTTAACACCATAATCCTCAATCAAAGATATGGTCACAGTTACAATTGACATGTTTGCTGCAAACTCGTTTCAGGAGATGAACCTCATACCTACTGTAAAGCATGGTGGTGGAATTGTTATGGTTTGGGGTTGCTCCGCTTCTTCAGGACCTAGGCAGCTTGCTACCATTGAGTCAACTATATATTCTGCATCGTATCAAAGTGTGCTTGATGAGAATATGAGAATATCTGTCCAATTGGTGAAGTTGAACCATAAATTGGCCTTCTAACACCGTAATGATCTGAAGCAAACGGGAAAATCCACCAAGGAATGTTTAAAAAAGTAGAAATGGGGGATTATTGACTGCCCTAGTCAGAGCCCTGAGTTAATTTCCATTGAAATGTTGTGGGGGCATCTTGATGCAAGGAACCCAACAAACCTCTGGCAACTAAAGACAATTTTCAGTTTCTTGGAGATGTGGTCACACATTTATATGAAGTTGATGTCGGGGACTGATGGGCATTATACAAAATACCTACAAGAAGCCATTTCTGCTACAGGGACAATGAACACGTATAATGCCTAGGGTGTACTTACTTTTTCCATAGTACACCATTCCATCGATTTGACATTTTAGTTGAATGAATGATGGAAGGTGAATGTTCATGTGTTTTTGCTGAAGTATATTCCCTTTATCTAGGATCAAATGTTTGCCTGTTCAAAAAGCTCAATGATTGCCATGGGGTATACATCACTCTTCACATGTCGTCGGTATCAACCAGTCTATAATTATAAGCTGCTGCGTCTTTTCTCATCCTGCGTTGGCAAAGTCCTCCATTGGTGCAGGTCGTGCACATCTGTTCCTGCCATCTCTTTTTTTTTTTTTTTATCTTGTGGATATAGATGACGATTGACACACTAGCACGTTTTTCATAGTATAAAGTGCACCTGTCTTCTTCTTGCTGCAGATTTGGTACCAGACGGATACAGAAGCCAGACATTGCTCTTATTTCCTTGTATTCAGTTATGAAGCTTTGTGCACATTACTGGCAGTTGACGTTCAGTCCCTCTTCCATGTCCTCCATTTTCCACCACGTCCACCTACTATTGCATCACTCACCCCTTTGTATACACCTGTTAGCATGACTGTGTTAAGGAAGTCTCTTAAAAAATTTTTTCTATGGTTCTCTTGAGTTTTTTGCACTTTACTCTCCCTGCAGTCTGAGGTCTTCTACACACGTGCAGGAAAATCCCATTCATTTCTACAGAGAGACTGTCTATCGTTCGGTTGCCTTACAGACACCTCTCTATGGGAATGAATAGGATTTTGTTCACATGTGTGCAGAAGACTCTGGACCTGGCTGGGAGAGTTTCCAGTGGCTGCTGTGCGGCTCTTCATAGTCAATGCAAAAAAAATCAGGAGTTAAATCTTAAAAATGCATTTAAGTACCTAAACTATTAAGAACAATGTATCTTATATGTGAATCACTCGGCTGTAGACCATCCAATCATCTCTGAATTGGTGCTGACACTGTCCTTCCTTCTGGAGGGGGGCTTCTTTGTTCCCCATGGTCCCTGTGTGTGTTGTAAAGTAGTCACCGCTCCAAGCTCACTCCCGGGATGGACTACAATCTCATGTTTAGTTTACTGGTTTGTATTGAGATTGTAGTCCATCCCGGGAGTGAGCTTGGAGCGGTGACTACTTTACAACACACACAGGGACCATGGGGAACAAAGAAGCCCCCCTCCAGAAGGAAGGACAGTGTCAGCACCAATTCAGAGATGATTGGAGGAACTACAGCCGAGTGATACACAAATAAGATACATTGTTGTTAATAGTTTAGGTACTTAAATGCATTTTTATGATTTGACTCCTGAGAGTAGTGTCATTTTATTGGAGAATTATAAAAAAGTACAGTTATCCTTTTAAAGAAGACCTGTCATAAGAGACATATGGAATCTGTTGTACTGACTTCCATCTGGATATTCTAATTGTCTGGATGCTAGCATTTCCATTGCAAGGGAATCTATGATGAGGAATTAAGGAGGCTGCCCTTTCTGAACTCTCCCTTTTGAGAATGCTGGTTCCCTGGCTGTGATGTAAATGCTTTCTTAGACTACAACCCAAAATGGATAAGAAGAGATAAAGAACTCTCTCACTCATTCATAGATTGTTCTGGATCTGTGACTCAAAAAAATTCAGACCCAGCCAGGCAACATTCATTACTTGGTGAGTTGCTGACCTGAAACCAGGATGCAGTTCTGACCTTACTTCCTCCCAGAGCTGTTTTGCAGGAAATGTCCAAAAAGTATAACAAAATATTCCTTGTTGGCAGACCCTAAAAAAAGCATGCTGTGTACTTCTAACGTACTGGTATTCTTTAATCTAGCATTCAGTCAGGTTTTTCATGTCGGTAGACATTTAAAGGACAACTTCACCTTTAAAAAAAACAAGGAAAACAATCCATACTCTTCTAGCTCCATAATCTAAGATTGACTCTCATCTAGGCCAACCCAGTAACTCCTCATAGACTTGAATGAGGCCATTCTCATAGGGGCTGATTTATAAATGGGTGGAACCCAGCAATGCACACCTGCCTGGTAACTTCCCATGGACTGAATGGGGCTATACTCCAACAGTAGAGACACTAGGAGGCTGATTTATAAATCTTCCACCCATCTATAAGATGGGCAAATGCCTTTCACACGGCATTCCCACCACTAGATGTAGCACTGGAAGCTTCTCTGTTTTTTCTAGGAGCGGGAATGCCATGCAAACAGCATTTGCCAAGCTTATAGCTGGATGGATGATTTATAAAATCTGCATCCTAGTGTCTCTACTGTTGGAGTATAGACCCATTCAGCCCATGGGAAGTTACCAGGCATGTAACTAGATGGAGACGAAGAGCACTGGAATTTCCTATGCTCCTCTGGAAGGAACTTCTGGTGGAGGGAATGCCATGTAAATTGCATTTGCCCAGCTTATAGATGGGTGGAAGGTTTATAAATCAGCCTCCTAGTGTCTCTATTGTTGGAGTATATCCCCATTCAGTCCATGGGAAGGTACCAGGCAGGTGTGTGTACCTGGGTTCCACCCATTTATAAAATGGCCCCTAGGAGTGTAGCCCCATTCAGTCCATGGGAAGTTACCAGGCGGGCACGACAGTACCAGATATTTTATTTAGGTATATTTGTCCTTTTTAAAATGGAGGTAAACTCACATTTTCAACAGAAATATTACTTAACTATTAGAAACACAGCTTGGGGGGATGTGTGAAAATTCAACGGTTACCTGGAAGTAGGTTAAGTGCCGCTGTATTAGCAGATCATGTGTCACGAGTCCACGTCGGCTGTATACTGGGTCAGTAATGTCAGCACAGTCTGACCGTGATTGTGTACTCGGCTTCTATTGACATCCACAGTGCAAGAGTTACTGCCGCTGACCTTCTGATCTAACGTAGCTTCAATACCCAGAAACTGAACAGGACCTGCTATTTCCAGTTCCTCTGCTTCATCTTCCCGAATGCCTCCGTATTTTTCTGACTCTAACCCTAACTTTTAAGGCTGCCATTGCTTGAGTCACAAATCCAAATCTCTGCATTCTTGTTCAGCAACTTTTTTATGTTCTTGAAGCCAAAGCTCAGCATGACGGGCAAGCTTGTGTTTTCAAATGTTCCCCCTATTCTTATGTCTTCAATTTTTATCCTGAAATGTCTTCGTTGCTCTGATTGTTGGTGGCGCCATAGTACGGCCCTTCTAACATTCTTTTTGTTTTCCTGTAGTAATTATCATGGCTCCTATATGGCCTCTCCTGGTGGTATTGGTCTTTGGGCTGGATACACAAGTTTCTCTGGCACAGACGACTGTTTCTAGCACCAGGAATGAACTGACTGCCGCCTCCTTCTTGGAAGACCTCCTACAGAGATATGGAGAAAATGAGACCCTGTCATTACCACAACTGCAGTCTCTGTTGGAAAGGCTGGAGGTGGGGAAAGGGATTGGAGACTCCGGCAACCTATCCCAGGTGAGTGCTGTAGCTGTGTGCTAAAAGTTATCAGCATGTTTAATACCGTATGCCGGTTTGCCTTGCTGGAATTTCCAGTTTCTTAGTTGCAGTCCGTGATTGCTATAGTCTAAAAGTAGACCGTTGGGGGGGAAAAAAACAGCACATTGATTTAGCATAATAGTTCTTCTTTAAAGGGCTGCCCCACCCCAAAACTGACATTTCTGGTTTTCCCTGGTTTCAGGCAAGTTAAATAACACACTGGATTATTTCTCTCCCACGCACTCCAATGTTAAGATACACTATATTACCAAAAGTATGCTAGCCAGCCTTTACACGCACATGAACTTTAATGGCATCCCAGTCTTAGTCCGTAGGGTTCAATATTGAATTGGCCCGCCCTCTGCAATTATAACAGCTTCATCTCTTCTGGGAAGACGTCCACAAGGTTTAGGAGTGTGTCTATGGGAATGTTGGACCATTTGTGAGGTCAGGTACTGATGTTGGAGGAGAAGGCCGGGCTCGCAGTCTCCGCTCTAATTCATCCCAAAGGTGTTCTATCGGGTTGAGGTCAGGACTCTGTGCAGGCCAGTCAAGTTCCTTCACCCCAATCTCGCTCTTCCATGTATTTATGGACTTTGCTTTGTGCGCTGGTGCGCAGTCATGTTGGAACAGGAAGGGGCCATCCCCAAACTGTTCCCACAAAGTTGGGAGCATGAAATTATCCAAAATGTCTTGGTATGCTGATGCCTTAAGAATTCCCTTCACTGGAACTAAGGGGCCAAGCCCAACCCTTGAAAAACAAATCCCCCCATAATCCCCCCTCCACCAAACTTTACACTTGCAGTCAGGCAAGTACCGTTCTCCTGGCAACCGCCAAACCCAGACACGTCCATCGGATTGCCAGACAGAGAAGCGTGATTGGTCACTCCAGAGAACACGTCTCCACTTCTCTAGAGTCCAGTGGCGGCGTGCTTTAAACCACGGCATCTCACGCTTTGCATTGCACTTGGTGATGTAAGGCTTGGGTGCAGCTGCTCGGCCATTGAAACCCATTCCATGAAGCTCTCTACGCACGGTTGTTGTGCCAATCTGAAGGCCACACAACATTTGGAGGTCTGTAGCTATTGACTCTGCAGACAGTTGCCAACTTCTGTGCACTGCTTCAGCATGCGCTGACCCTGCCCTGTCATTTTACGTGGCCTACCACTTAGTGGCTGAGTTCCTGTTGTTCCCAGTTGCTTCCACTTTATTATAATACCAGTAACAGGTGACAGTGGAATATTTTTAGTAGCAAGGAGATTTCACAGAACATCTGAATCCAATGATTTGGAGGGGTGTCCCAATACTTTTGGCAATAGTGTATGTTGAGATATTGTAGAATTCACAGTTCTTCCCAAATGCTTCAACTATCAGAAATCTAACTTGTGATTCCTTGACCGTAATAAATGGAAATTGCATCTGCAAAAGTATTGACGCTTTTCCTGTGAAATCTGCGGTCTAATCTCATTAATCTGATTCTATATTATGGCCTGCCCCCTTCATGTGTGTTGAATGTTGCCATTGGTCAGCGGGAATATCCATACCTGTTGCTGTGAACCAAGAGTAAGTTGGTGCCCGAGTCAGAATCGGGTAGTTCTGCAGTTGGTACCATCATCATAAAGCTTCTCATGAAGGTACATTTATTTTTTGGTGGGGTATGCCAGCACTTTTGTCTACCAGTTTAGATGGTTTGGTTACCGCAGGCTCACCTTATGAACACTGTATCTGTACAGATGGGAGTGCTCTGTTTGCTTTCTGGGTAGACAACATTATGAATAGAGTTTGTGAATTCCATCCATGCTTGCCCATAGTACAGTACATAGTACATAGTACAGTACATGATCAAAATATATTCTCAAATGTCAACTGGCTCTAGAATGAGCTATGGCACCCACACACTAAAATCCAATTGATGGGTCTCTTTGACCATTCCGTGTTCAGATTGGATCTAATAAGAATCAACCTGTGTGTGCCGTTCCTTACAATCACTTATTGTAGACTTTCACTGAGGTCATCTGAAAATAACAATAAAAAATAGTGAAAGTTGGAACAATTTACATTTATTATTGGGGTTTTGCAGTGTGTGATGTATCACTTTTTTTTTTTTTTTTTTTCTTTTTCCTGCTCGATATTTTTTTATTGAAGAAACCATTTTCAAGTGTGACAATCGAGAGAGTAGAGTTACAATGGTGAATAACAGTTATTGAGAGACCTCGTGGGTGGACTGTTTTGTAGTTGACGTGCATGTACAAAACCTCTTGCTGGGGCCCACAAGGCAGCATCGAGCGGTGCCTCTTAGAAGAGGAGGGGGAGGGAAAAAAAGGTGTAGGGTAGCATCATGGAGGGTAGAAGGGATAAGGTGGGGTAGGCGTCCTAGAATCACGGACAGGACCTTGTATCAAACAGCCAGGGCTGCCCGGGGTCCCTAAAGTTCTTGCAACTGGTGGTCAAAATAGCTTTGTAAGTAACAGACACTATGCCTGCATGTAGAAGACTGGGAACCCTGGATGGCCTAACGGTCTTCACCTCCGGAGTCCACGGGTTATTCTCGAATGAGAACGGCACAAAATGCTGCTTGAAATGTTTGCTGATTTATCTTGTATTTTATCTTGTATGCACTAGCTTATCAGCTCTGGGAAATAACATGTGTTTCAATACTGGCACAGATGTGTGATTTTTGTTATGTGAGAACTTTGTACGGGAGACTTTGCAGTTTAATGCCCTCCGCGTCCACGCCAGTCCACAAAGGATTGGAATCATAACCCTCAGAATGCTGGGGTTGCTTTCTCCGGTGCCTGGCCATGGATTAGGAGGAGGCATTTGGAGCACAAGTCTTTATTCACCACTAAGCCTAATGCAAATGTGAAGTAGCTTCTTATATTCTCAACCAGACCGTGAGGGTCATTTTTGTATTACATTTTAGATAGTGATGAGCAGGTAGACTCTGTCGGGTTTATATTTCTGTTGATGTTCCCTCTTGGGAGCTTTAATCTGTCCTTTTTTCCAGATGGTGCTCAAAGCGATGAGAAATCCAATGTTTGAGTGCTGGGGACAACTGTCTATAGAATAATAAAAAAAAAAGACAGGAGTTTTAACCCTTCCCTTCTCTATCCCAAACTAGAAATAAAACCCTTTTTTGCTTTTACAGCAGGAGTGGAACAATTAATATGGAATTCAGGAGCCAGCCTTTCCAATCCAGGAGCCAACTCCATTGCCAACAGCTATAGGAAACCACAAAAGTTAGGCACCAGCTGAGCGCTGGCCACCTGCCCCTGCTTCAGATGCACTTGAAAAATAGAAGATGGATGGAAAATGATAAATAATAAGTCATTTTTCATATTAACAAAGCCTATACTAAATGTAACTTGTAGGCTGTCTGCCTGTTGACCTCCTTCAGAAAACATTTGTTGTCTGTCTCTGCCTTCAGTACTATCATGGACGTGAGGTCAGGGGAGGCAGGTGAGGCAGAGCCTTGCCTAGTACTATTTTCTCTATTCAGATTGGCTTCTAACAGGTTACACATCAGGGAAATCCTCCCCGCTGTGTAACCTGTCATGGACGGAGCGCTGGATGTTAATTACAGGCAGCGATGCATCCGGCTTTTGACAGCTAAGTTAGGTTACACAGCAGCGGGCTTCCGACAAGAGCTGCAACAGCCTCTACATGCTGTTGGAGGCTTGAGCTCTGTGGATGGCTTGGACCAATGGCAAACAGCGATTGTTGCAAGCTGTCCAATCAAAAAAACAGTGAGGTCATCAATCTCAATGCCTCACTGGTGACAAGCAAGTGAGGGACAGAGAGGCTCCTCCATGTCTCTTCCCTTCTCCATCCATCCTCCCTCCCTCCTCCACACAGCTCGGTGATCAGGCTGGGGAGGAGGTGGGCCGGGGCATGGGCGGAGGCGGGCAGGGCGGGGGCAAGCGGGGGAAATGCCTCACCAAAAATGGACTCCACTGCACGTCACTGAGTACTATAATACACTGACCTGGAACAAGCATGCAGATTAGGGGCATTAGAACACCAAACCTGTATGTGTTCCAGGTTGGTCACCTAGAAGCTGGTGAAGCTTCCGGATCATCATGACAGACAGGAAAAGAGGTCGGGCAATGGCGGCATCCATGATTCTTCAGCGCAGGTTTCCTATCTAAGGTTGTGGTGTAGTGATGTTTTGCGAGCGTGGCTGAGACAGTTTTTGAAAAACACCACAACCACAAATCAAATTATCTTGTTGTGCTTGCGGCTGTAAAATGTAATGAAGATAATAACAACTTGCACCATCTGTCTGGTTAGGAACAGGCCAATGACGGTGTAAGGAAATATGAAAGAATGCCGAGTCCCTAAAAAGTTAATTATTAGTGAAGATGATGCAAGTGAAAAAACAAAGATGAAAATCGGCAGAAATTACAGTTAGCGGAGGTCAAGAGATGTCATGTGATGTGTTTTGTTCCTTTTTGGATGGAGTGGGAAAGGTTTGAAACTCCTGATAGTTTTGCTGTTTCTGTCCCGTTAAGGAGGTTCCTCCTGACATCCTGTCCCAGAGATACAGCAAGAAATTAGATCGAATTTCCTACAAAGTCACCGGAACAGGTGTCCCCTTTGGAAGATTTAATATGACCTCCTATTCTGGTGGCAGCTTTCTGTCCCATAACAATGCTCACCAGGATAAATAGAGGGGGTGATTCACCTCAGTGGGTACATGGCAATTAAAACCTCCAGAGGTTCTAACTAGGAATGTACTGATACTAGTATTGATGCAGATTCCGAGTATTTGGGCGAGTACTCTCTCGCCCACATGCTCAGATACTTGCCTCCGATACCAGTCAGAGGGAGATTATGGAGCCAGCTTCCTTTCTAATCAGGAAGCTGGGCGGCACGTTATGACCCGCCGCCTGGCTCACTTGCTGCCTGGCTTCTTGACCAATCAGGAAGCCGGACAGTCTCTGCAAGTGAAGCCTGGTGTTCTTTAGAAAGAACACAGTCTTCCCAGGCAATCAGCAAGCCAGGCAGCGGGTTGTGATTCACTGCCCGGCTTCCTGAAACGGGGCACACGGCATCGGTGTATCGGTACTCTGTATCGGCGAGTATCGAAAAACCGGTATTGGTGCATCCCTAGTTCTAACCCTGCACCACTCTATCCAAGAGAAAGTTTTGGCTACACATTCACTTTAATGTTTGTCTGGAGAAAGTGATAAGCCTTGGACAATGTCTGTTGTATGCTGGTGATGTAGAGCTTTGTAGAAGATTTCATGAGGTTTCTTTGGTTCACGAGGAGTAAAAAAAAAAAAAGATTTTGATAAATGAGAAGAAAACCCAAATATGATTACACGGAGCAACGTGGGAAGAAGGAAAACCATAAGATTATTTTAATATAAATGATTAGAAGGTTCATTTTCAATATTTTGGATCTATTTCTGGTAAAGTGTACCTAAAGCCCAAACCTTTTTTTTTTTTGGGGTAGAGTGGTGATGAGGGGTTAGAGCCTCGGTCAGTATTTTATTGCTGTGCCCCCCCCACTGGCTAGAGTCACCCTTCCATTTGTCCTGTTGACCATTGTTACCAGGGCACAAAGTGAAGGGAAAAGTCAACATTAGGGCTGGTAATGATTAAAATTTTCGTGTTCGATTAATCTACATTTTTTTTAAATGGATTAATCGATTTTAATTTCGATGAATTATAACACATATACAGATCCAACTACATTGGCCTATACACATTAATTAATCTCACGTGCCCCACTCAATATGGCCGCCGCTTGAGTGGGGCAACTCAGAATAATAACGTGCTGGATTAGTGTGATCCTAGTTCATTTTATTACTTCATTGCTGTGCTGTATGTGTATAGGCCAATGCCTTGGCTGGCGCTCGTGTAGAAAGTTTCTTGGGCAAACTCACCGGCCCAAGTGACTCCTCCCCCCTTCCCTTCGTTAGCCGACGGAGCCACTTGGGGAAGTCGATGTCCGTGACGGCTAACGAAGGGAAGGTGGGAAGAGTCCGACGGGACTCCCGGAAGCCGGCGGAGAGGTGCGTGTTTTCATTAGCGATCAAAATAATTTTAATCGATCAAAAAGTTTAACGATTAATCGAGAAATTAATCTTTTAATTTCCACAGCCCTAGTCAAAATCAATTAAAACGGGAACAGAGGGGAAATCTTGCAGTGGCCATGTTTGTTCCATTAACTTAGAGGGGGTTTAACTTACTTTTGGAGAGGTTTCCTCTTGCAGGACAGGAAGTGAAGGAAATCTCCTAAATGGGACACAGATGGCCAAAAAATTATGTATTTTAAACCGTACCCTGGTTTTAAAAGAAAATGGATTCCGATGTTATTTAAAGTGTTCTTAAAACCCGGTTTCTGTGTAATATTTGGGATGCTTATGAAAGTGTTGTATTCTGCTTCTTCTCAATGTAACTTCCTGCTATCCTCCCTTATCCTGGTTCCCCAGTTGCCCTGATTTCTGGTATGAGGGTGGTTCCTTGGCTTCCAGAGTCCTGTAGAACCCCACTAGAGCTGTTCATATGTGTACACTCATAGAATACATACAGAGGCAGCCTAGGGGAATGGAAACCATGACTTCCTGTCCCATCGTTCCATGTGCAATAACACTAGGAATGATGGGACCTGTAGTCTCAAGCAGGCACCTGACCAGAAGTGTGAGGAAGCCACATGGAGGCATTTTTAGAGGCATTTTTTTTATAAAATTGTCTAGTAAATAGCAGATGAGGACGGATGTGTTTTTTAAAATAAGATGCTGAGGCTTTAGTACTAATGTAAGTGCACTTTTCATGCGCCTCCATCCCCCTCACCCCTCTCCCTGCTGAGCGTTTGTATAACATAGAATGCGTTCATGGACTTGGAGTCACCACAGCCTCAAATCTTCCCATTCCTTCACTGCGCAGACCTGACTACTTAGCCTATAGTGGCTATGATTAGGCCAACCGTAACCTTTGTCCTAAAGCATGGTGCTTAACGCACGTTTATGAAAGAATGCCTCTAATAAAGAGGTTGAAGGTGCTGAGGAAGAACTAAGTTGCAGTGGTTTGAAAATCGTCTGAAGAACAAAGAAAGCCAACACTAACTGATATTCAGAAGAAGACCTCATGGCTTGGGGAAACCTAAAGAGATTGTGTAGGGCATGTGGAGAGGACAGAAGTGAAGTATTAAAGCGGCCTTTTACCCGTATCTTAAAAAAAACAAACGGCAAATACACCTTTTTTTTTTTTTTAGAAATGTTTTTAGTGATGACAATCTACAAACACATATTTCTAGATAATTGCCGGCTTTGTATTCTTTGCATTCCTTATTTCTCTTTTCTTCCCCAGTCTTCTGACAGTGACCATGTTTACTAAGGGCAGGTTACTAGAGCTCAGTTTACTTCCTGGATTTCTGGCACATGTGACTAGGACATGTGACCATGCACATCATCTCAGGGGAGGAAAATGCCTTTCCCTGAGATCTGGTGAGCTTACAGATGAGATTTCCCAGCAATGCTCTGCTGATGACAAGGCAATCCCAGTGTGCATTGCCTTGGAAAACTGAAGTCGTTTGCACCTTCAAAGCAGGAAGTGAACGCTCTGCGAGTGTGAAATATTTCGCAGCATTTTACACCTGACATGTCTGTTATTATTCATCATCATACATGGAGAGATGTATGGTAGAATTGGTAGAATTAGATTTTTTTAGTGTAAAGGTCTGCTTTAAGAAGATGCATTGCTCAGGAAAAAGATATAGCAGAGGGGAAGAACATGACCTTAGTCCTGTGGTATCACTGAAAGTATTACTGTCCTTTTTTCTCCTCAGTGTCTCAGTGCTTCTACTCTTTTTACTGCTCACAACCTGACCTCGGACTCTACGTTGGATGCTGGGGGGCTGCAGAACCTCTGCCCTTCAATCCTCCAACAGTTGGAAACCCAGTCATGTCAAGGAAGCCCTGTCCCTCAGAACGAGACCAGCGATGAGGGGAGACCCAGCACTGGCGAGGGTAAGAAAGAAGTTTTTTCTAGAGTGCTCGCTTCCTAAAAGCCATTAAATAACATAAACTTTGTATAAAACAGTTATGTTTATAAACAAAACAAAAAAGATAATGTTTCAGTGATAATAAGATTGGGATGTTCGGAATTCTTATTAGTGTCTTGATGTGTCATAAATATGTTCTCACTGTTCTTGTAGTAGGAGATAACCAGCCAAGGACAATTGTCATCTAACACCCTAATCATTTGTGTTATCTAATTCCGCATTCTTATCCATGCATGATCCATGCTTCTCCTATATGTGGACTGACTTTGGTTTTTTTATTTTTTTATTTAATATTTCATCTTTTTTTGTGTCTTATACTCTTTTTACTGTTCAAGAAGCATGCAGTAAGATTGTCAAATTCAGAAAGTCACCTTGAACCGATATTCTCTGTAGAGCAATCGACATTTTAATGTAATATGTGCTGGTTTTTTTCAAGTGCTCGTTTTCATCTATGTGCAAAAATAACACCCGATCCTCGCAGTCCCCCAGCCTTCCCCCCCCCACACTTTGGTTGTGGTGGTCCAAGGATCCTTGAGTCATCGCTTCTAATGGTGTATTGGATGTGAGGATGCAGAGGGACATGCCATCAATGAGGTGGATAAAGGCTGGAGGGAAGTTTCTGTGACAGCCAGCTGGCTTCGAGGTTGGGGTGAGTATTGTTTTTTTATTTTGCACCTAGATGAAAATGAGCACTTAAAGGAGAACTATGGGGTCAGTGTTTTTTCCCCATAGTTCTCCTAAGGGTCACGGGAGGACATATACTAGCATCCTCCCGTGACCCTAAGCTCAGTGTGTATAGCGAGTTACAGCTCGCGTTATATTAAGACCGCTGCAGCCGGGAAGGATCCCGACATTACTGTTGAGATCCACCCAGCTGCGTGATTGATAGCTTGCTCTGCCTATCTAGAGTCAGAGCCAGCTGTACCTGCCCCCGTCCGTTCCGCCAATCAGCGCTGGAGGATAGGGGAGGGGGGGGGTCCCTGCAGGGAGCCGTGAGTGACAGTCACGGCTCTCTGCAGGGACAGTATGGAGAAGTGAGCGACTATGTGTTCGCCCGCTTTCTGATCTACTGAGCCGACCTGTGACAGTTTCATTGTCACACATCGGCTCGAACTATGAGGTTGAGTGAAAATCACTCGCCTCATAGTTCTCCTTTAACCCTTGCAAAGCGGGAAACAGCCCCACTGCAAAGGTTAATAAAATGTTTACTCGCAGTTCATTGTTAAAAATTCTGTTGCTTCCAGCTGTCTGTTGAAATGGGTGCAAGTTATCCCCTGACAACTGTTTTCGTACTGGTCCTTGAGCTCTGCCTGTTAGTTGAGATGGCCAGTCATAAATGAAAACGCAGGAAAGATCTATTGGTTGCGCTGCAATGTGAAGGGAGAACTTGTGTGTGCGTCGTAGGATGGAGGACGTGAGAAATCTGCAGCTCAGTGCTGGAGGAATTTAAAGAATGTGGAAAACATGCAGCACATTTTTTGTTCATTGTATTTTTCTTTTTGTCTACCTGTTTTTGAGCTTTTTATACATTACATGATGTTTTGTGCATGCCGTCATGTATACTCTTGTGTGTAATCTTTATCTCAGCTCTGCATTCTTGTGTTGTCTATACATGTGTCCCTCACAGTGTGCTCTTATTCACAGTCTGGGGTTTTGGATTCGTGGCAGTCACCGTGATCAGCCTGTTCTCTCTCCTGGGTGTCTTCTTTGCCCCATGCGTAGAGAAGCCTGTCTTCCGACGAATGCTTACCTATTTCATTGCCTTGTCCATCGGCACGCTGCTGTCTAATGCTCTGCTGCAGTTGATCCCAGAGGTGCAGTACCGGCTCACACCACAGAAGGCGCTCATGCCGTTATAAATCATACACATGCAAAATCATCACGCCTAACATTTCCACTATCGCTTCCAAACGATATTAAACTAACAGCTCGCTCACCACTCAATATATCGAACACATTCAGATGGCTTTAATCAGCTGTCTTATACATCCTAATTTCTGCCTGCTCTGACTAGATTGCCATTGTATCCAGAAAGCAGTTAAGGGCCATAGCCTTAGGCCATTATTTGTGAGTTAAACTCTCTTGGGGTAAAGGAAATAAACAACCTTAACTGATAATTGTAGCTACAGAAAGGAATAAATCTCGAGAGGAAAAATGTTGCTTTGGGCTGTACAGAGGGGCCTAATCTCAATCAATCTGGGGTACGATCTTTGGAGATGGGTTACGGTCTTTGGCGATATGGGTTACGCCTGGGATGGCCAAACTGCGGCCCATCCAGTAAACACTGGATACCAATAAACATCTGAGACTTGATGTGCTAGAGCAGGGGGTCTCAAACCTCTCGCCCTCCAGCTGTGGTGGAACTACAAATCCCATGAGGCTTTGCAAGATTCTCACAGACATAACTCCCGGAGAGAGATGCTTCATGGGATTTGTAGTTTCACCACAGCTGGAGGGCCGGATTTTGGCCATCCCTGGGTTACGCTCTTTGGGGAAGGGGTGCGGTCTACAGTCTTTGGGGAAGGGGGGCGGTCTACAGTCTTTGGGGAAGGGGTGCGGTCTACAGTCTTTGGGGAAGGGGTGCGGTCTACAGTCTTTGGGGAAGGGGTGCGGTCTACAGTCTTTGGGGAAGGGGTGCGGTCTACAGTCTTTGGGGATGGGGGTATGGTCTTTGGAGAAGGGGTATGGTCTATAGAGATTGCAATGTATGTTCAGGTCTCAGAGGGTCCTGCCTCCATCCCCCATGTCCTTGATGAGCTGACAGATCTGTTATAAATTCATTTGCGGTTGGTTAACTTTTTTACCCATTTCAATCGAGATCTCTCAGGTGTCTGCAGCATGAATGGATTTTATACTTGTTATATTGTTTAATTTGTTTTTCTCTCCTTTCCAGGGTTTAATTAAAGGCTGCAATTTCTGCTGTGTCAAATGGTTGTTACTCTACGGTGCATGTTTGTATGAAGCGAGTTTGGCACAGCTGAATAAGCAGCATCACCTTGTTTTAACTTGCTCCATTCTATGTGGTTAAATGAAGGAAGATTTATTATGTAATCTTGTATTGTTATTTTAATGTCAAACTTCTTCTGCCAAGGGCTGCATTCACACCTCCATGTTTTTGTGCAGTACATTAAATAAAACAAAAACAAAAATCTTGCTTCAGTGGGGTTTGCAACAAAATGCACTTTCTCTGCCAATGCGATTGTAAAATGCAGCTGAACGTCCCACGCTGAGACCGCACTACATAAAAAAACAACTCAGAGGTGTGACTGTAGCTTTACTTCCCCCGTTTCTGGTGTACATTCATCAGGCGGGACATAATGTGGGAACACTGGGGGTCACTGCACACCTAAACCGAGCACTTTGCACTAGGATCAGCAGAGGAAGGTATTTTGCTTGCTCAGGCTTATCCATGAAGTGGTACCCAGGTTACTAAAACTGTAATATAAGGCCTAATGTAGGTATTACGATCCCTAATCCTCTGTTATTTCACCAAATCACAGTTAATGAGTTGTATTTTTCCAAACGTTGATTTAGCCCATGAAACGGCAACCTCTGCCCTGTTTAGAGAATTGATAATCTGTTTTTGGCCATCAAGCATTCAGGGCACAGAGTCTGCGTAATTATTTTTTGGAAACGTGAACTCCAGAACAGAATGGGTGTATGTGATGGAAATCGTACCGGTTTCTGGTTCTTCAGAAGGTCCTAAACTAACGGCTAAACTTTCAAATTATGCAGCGCCCGCAACATATAACGTGTTAATATCATAAACCATAAAATCAAATAAATATATGTGACTCAAATGTATAAACTATAATAGTATAATACACACATGAATATTAGTGACTTAAAGTCTTTCTAAAAAACCCATCATTGGCCCTGGATCATTGATCCCACAGGGTATGTGGACCAATTGTTAGTGACAACCACCGTATAATTGTTGAATGATGTGATGTGTCAAATCCAAAGAGGACTGTTCAAAAAGTATTCGAAAAAATATTCAAAAAAAGGTGTTCAAAAGAAGTTCCGTGAACTATGTTGGGGATAAGGGTTAATACCACATATATCCCCTCGAAAGGTGCACTCACCGTGAGGTAGTGGCTGTGATAAGCAGCCGGAAACGCTCAGACAGAAGCTCTCAGGACCGCAGCATCGATCCACCGTCTCACTATGGTCTTCAATAAAGGATGTGTCTCCACGTTTATGGAAGAAAGAAGCCTTTCATTGTGTAATGTTTTTCAACACAGAGGCTTTATTAAAAATCAAGTTTAAAACGGACAATCACGAACATTTAAGATTTTGTTCGATCAATACACACAGCCTAGGAACGGAGTCCTGTGTTGGTATGGCGTGTAGTTAGGCCCGCCCCTACGCGTTTCGTCGTCTTGACGTCTTCAGGGGGTTTTGCAGGTCTGCCTATGTGCAAAATGTTCTAACTCGTATAGCCTTTATAGGGGTCTATTTATAAAAAATTGTCATAGCTTACTCATCCACCGGGACTGCATGTACATTCGTTCTGTGCGAGTTAGCCAGCTGTAGTCAGGATGGGGGAAAAAAACTAACAGGGTTATTCGCAAAAGGGTGAATAGTTTGGAGAAGGCCTGAGAAGTGAACAATCTAGGCCAAAATAGCTGATTTAGAACAAATTCTCCAGTTCAGCTGTATTGTTCCCTTCTCCTGCCTTCTCCAAACTCTTCACTCTTTTGTGAATAACCCTCTAAGTCTATAGGAAAACATCTTGCGCATAGGCTGCTGCTCAGTTTAGGACCTTCTGAAGAACCATATATAGACCTGGAGTTGGGTATACTTGTACTGAGATGCTCTAACGAGGACCCCAAGACAAGTTTGATTTTCCCATTCAACCCCCAAACACATACACACTCCCTTGCACACACATTTTTAAATTTACGTCAAGTTGTAAATAAACAAAACGAGGAAGGCCAAAGTGTTTGCTGGATCGGTTAGGGATGGACAAATCTCAGGCATTGACTACTAAAGACATTCGAGTGTGAGCTATTCCTATGAAATGGCTCCTTCTTGGAAACATACCTGATGCATTAAAGAAAACATATTTTGCTCAGTTTACGTGTGCTGGTGACCTCCATAAATGTGTTGGTTTAACCAAACTGATATCTATGTAATCAAATCACTGATCAACTTTCTTATTTCTCCCCTCTTCTGGTATAATTTCCTTGTCTATCATCTTGGTCTTCCTCTTCTTTTCCTCAGTGTGGGGTTATGGACTTCTGTGTGTCACCGTCATTTCCCTCTGCTCCCTCCTGGGGGCTGGCGTGGTTCCCTTCATGAAGAAAGCCTGTTACAAGCGTCTTCTCCTCTTCTTCATTGCTCTCGCCATTGGGACCCTCTATTCCAACGCTATCTTTCAGCTCATCCCCGAGGTATGGGGGGACCTTGTGCAAATCTGAGACTTGGTGTGTGTGTTTTGTGGTACCCCGTAGTGTTCTTGTGTGTGTCATTGGTGTGCTTTGAAATGGGGAGGGAGAGGGGACCGTTGGGTGACATCTTTGCAAGTTAGGCAATTTTGTGTCTCTCTAGCGCCTCAAGAGTGGAGAGAAAATTGTTCTGTAAACCTGCACGGAATAGAACAGACAGACATCTTTACCCAGAACCTTTCCAGACTGGCTTCATGCAAGGATTTGAATATTTAGCTTTAAATACCTATAATTGTGTAGGCCGCTTAAGAGAGATTTAGGTTTGCCTCTTATTTACCTTCTATGTCTATGAGCATACTTCTGTGGCTTAAGAGCCAAGGGTTAGAGGTCACCTAAAGCCCGACAGTAGCTGCCTTGTCAGCTTTCTGATCTCGCACACAGTTTCTCTGTTCAAACAAGAACCTATCCGTGCGAATGGAGCCAAGTAGCTAAAGGGGAACTAACCTTTCAATAAAAGCCACAAGAAGACCTCTGCCAATGCCGTGCTGTAGAGTGCCGACTCTACAGCTAGGCTCCTGTATGCCTGCAGTCAATGCAGCAGATATGTTAGAGTCTGAAAAAAAAGTTCCTAATTTCCCTTTATTAATAAAATGCACAAGCGACTGACGGTGACATCACCAGGACTGCTAATGCATTTCGGCTAAAAAGCCTTAAAGATAGCTATGTTTAGGGTTTTAAGCCAGGATGTGTTAGCGGTCCTGGCACTGTCCTTGATGGCTGTTTGTGCATTTTAATAATAAATGAGGAACTCTTTTTCAGCTCATTTGTTTTATCAATTCGGATTGGAGGCATACAGATGCCTAGCCGTAGAGCCGACACTCCACAGCACAGCATTGGCAGAGAGGTAGGGCGACTTTTTTGGAATCGGACTTCACTCTCCGCTCCCTCACCAGCACAGACTTCTTCATTCAGTCTTCTTTCGTGTTTTGGGATCTTGGGCCATTTTGATTGGCCAGCGGGGAGCAACGTAACTCCACGTATGTGCATTGTAGTTCATACATTTCAGCACCAAGGTGTGTTGATGATGTACACTGAACTGTGCATGTGCAGCTCTATGTACAGTATAAAGACGATTGCAGACAGGCAGATGAGTCTGTTTTATTGCAGAACAGACCTTGCCATATCTCTTCTGCAATAAAGAGCCTGCCTGCTCACACATTTTCTATTTTAAGATAAGATCCACTTTAAGAGGAACATTTAAAAGCTACAGGTCACTGTCCTGTAGCTTGTGGTGAATGAGGTCAGGCGTGAGGACTTCAGCTTGAGAGTCAAGGTTTGGAGGTCATCTGAAGAGTCCTACGCATATAAACCAAGTGCAGCTACATAAGGGGGTGACTATAAATCTTTTGGTTATAGGCTTAAGCCATTTGGACTAAATATTCAGATTCTTCCGTAAAACCAGTCAGGACTCGTATTTAAAGAGAACCTGTTACTTTATGGTACATGTAAAGCTGTAGAAAGAGGAAAGTGTGGGTAGGTTGGACACCATCTTTGCATGTTTTTGTGTATATTGGACAGTAATGAAGGTTCTGGTGTATTTTCCAACGGTGTCCTTCACATGTCCTGTTTAAGCTCTCGTATGTTCTCATGGTAAAGGTCATGTTGAAGGAGACTTTGATGTAACAGGCACTGGTGTTCCACTGGGAAGCAGGTATGAAGAATGAGTTGGAGAAGTCAAGTGCTCGGACAAGTCGCCTTGTGTCTAAAAAAAAATTTTTTTTTTTTTTTTTTTTTCTCCTTTTTGGGTTTTTTTTTTTTCCTCATTTCTCATCCCTGCAGCTCCTCAGAATTCAGTGTCCGTTCCACTTGTCATTTCATAAATCATTAATTATCTTCCTGCAAAAAAAAAAAGGAAATTCAACTTCTACACTAAAACCATCATAACTGAACAATAAACCAGGCCCGCGTTCAGCTTTCCTTACTTTTTCCAGCATTATTTTTACTAAGTCTATAGTCAACGGGTCCCCTTTAGTAGGACAAACTCACTTTTTGTTTTCTTTCTGAAGCCTTGATTTGTGTGCAGGACACTGAACTGATTTCTCCCTATACCGCAGGCCTTTGGCTTTAACCCTCTGGAGGATGCCTACATCGCAACATCTGCTGTGATCTTCGGGGGATTCTATCTCTTCTTTTTCACTGAGAAGGTCCTAAAAATGCTGCTGAGTCAAAAACATGAGGTAACGTGCTGACAGTAGCTTGGTAACGGAAGCAGATTTGTATGGGCAAAGGTCATGTGCAATTTTTTTTTTTAACATAAAGATAAGCAGTCCTGAAATCTAAATATTCAGTATTTATTATTATTATTATTATTATTATTATTATTATTATTGTTTGTCTTGTACATGAACGATGTGGACTTGTGCTCCCCATTCTTTATCTGATCCTGACGCACCTTTTTTGAGTGTCAGCAGGCAAATGTCATCATAAGCAGTTTGACTTTTACTGCTTGGTTACCTAGCTGTCCATATACACCTTGTTTTCCTAATGAGCACTTTTTTAACTTCATTTTTAATAGGCAAAATATGACATTTTGCATATTAATAATTAATTTGTATTCTACTCTTGGGCCAGCGAGTGGAGTTTTAGGCTCTTTTGAAACGGGGCCTTCTGGCATTCCTGTGGCAGGAATCCCCAGGTGTCCCTGTTCAGATGTGGCCGCTGTACTCATTGAAGTGGATGGCAGGTTGACAGCGGCTGCATCTGTCCGTGTGTATTCATATATGATAACATGTGGTTTGGGATAGTTGAATGCCGCTGGACACAGGATGTATGTATGCACCATGTATGTTTTACATGAGATGTGGCCGCCGTCACCCTGTCATTTTACTTCAGTGGGTAAAACGTCCGCATCTGATTGCGCACACCTGGCATTCCTGTTGCAGGAATTTGTATGTTCCTGCTGCAGGAATCCAAGAACATCCCATATTAATAGTGCCTTTACTGTTTTTTTTTTTTTTGTTTGTTTTTTTTATTTCCACTTGTTTTTTCAGATATTGCTTAGCCCTTTTGTTTGCAGCGCTCACTGGCTAATGCGGATATTTACATGCACAAGGCATTGAAGGATTACTAAAGGCTGGGCGTTTGTTACCTTAATACATACTCTGTATTAAGGTGAAAAACGCCAAGTACCTTTTTTGAGTCCCCCGTCCTCCCCACACTTACCTGTCAGCGTCGCTTGTCACTGCTGCGGGTCCTCCGTCAGAATTTCCTGTTTTCAGGGGAGGACAATCAACCTGTTGGGCGGCGAGGAGGGGCGTGGCCTGCCACAGTGCTGTGTGTGTGTCTATGGACACACACAGCCACTTGCGGTAATGGCTGGGCACGCACAGGTGCCTCCGGAGCTCAGCTTAGCTGATGGAGGCACCCGTGCAGGGTGCAGGGGTTGAGTGCTGCTGGGAGCCACTAGAAAACGAGTAATTAAACATTTTATAATTAAAAACACTAAATGATTTCTTCAGGTATGGGCCTTCTATTTCTAAAAATAATACTACTTTTGACAATGGGAAATGCTTGTCATAAGTCATTGTATTGTTCCAACACGTTCCCTGTGCGTATGCTTTTTCCAGTGGTTTTAGGATAGGCAGGTGTCTCATTGCAGGCAATCTTGGCAAGACATTTGGGGAGGAATCTTTTTATCCATATTGAAATTATGGGATTGTTTGTCTTTTTTTTTGAGCACTGGGAAGTACGAGGGCAATGACCTAGATGTTCCCTTTTCTCACCTCCTGATAAAGTAAATTTAGCCATTGTGTTGAGCAGAGTATATGTCAGAGCTGGTCTGTAACAAAACCAGGATATGAATAGAGTCTGTTATGCAACTGGTGATTTCTTTTGTTTTCAGTGAAGGTTTTTTTATTATTTAACTAGAAACTGGTGCATTTCTTCCCTTGCCAGCCAAGGTACATTTACAGGAATGTCGCTCCTTACTGTTTGGCTTCCTCATATTTTTGATAATCACTAGTCACTAAAAGGGACGGGAAAGAGTTGTCCCCATACACTGTACATGGCTGCCAAGTTATTAACCTGCACTTGTTTAAAGGAGAACTATGAGATGAGTGATTTCCACTCACCTCATAGTTCTAGCCGACCTGTGATAATGAGACTGTCACAGGTCGGCTCAGTAGATCGGGAGGTGAGCGAACACATACCGGGTTCGCTCACCTCTCGATCCTGTCACGGCTCTCTGCTGTGACAGGGGAGGGGCTGGATTCCCCTCTCCCCGCTCCGATCTGCCAGCGCTGACTGGCGGAACGGACGGGGCTGGTACAGCTGGCTCTGCCTCTAGATAGGCAGAGCCAGCTGTCACTCACGCAGCTGGGCGGATCCCGTCATCTACGTCAGGATCCGCTCCGGCTGCGGCGTCTCAGTATACCGCGAGCTGTAGCTCGTGGTATACTGAGCTTAGGGTAACGGGAGGACACTAGTTTGTGTCCTCCCGTTACCCTGAGGAGAACTATGGGGAAAAACACTGACCCCATAGTTCTCCTCCTTTTTTAAATCCTACATTTTTAATTGAAGCAATGTAAATATGTAGCTGGATGAGATGACTATTAGGAAGTCATATCATCCAAAAATATATGCTCTGCAGATGCCTGAAAGTTGTGCCACGTATCTGTTACCTATGGGTGCCCTTTCACGGGGTGCGAAGATCCAAAGTCCTTACGCCCACTCTCCTGCTCCAACCTTAACAAACCTCAGCGGCTGTCTGCAAACTTCTGTTCATCTATATGGTGAATGGAGGGCAATGTATGCTATGCTGTGTTGTAGGTCCAAAGATCAATTGGCCAGTTTTGTGCATTTTTAGTGCAATGGTCTCTACACATGTGCTGGTGAGCAGTGGATCCTTCAGAAGCATCTGGACAGGGTATGAATGGTGGTCTACAGACGGTTCTTGGGTGTCACAGTTGGTGAAGGTCTGTGAGTTTTAATCCTCTGTAAGGGCACCTAAAACTCCGGGGGAAGTCTTATAGTAAATTCTACACACAAGTAATAGTTGCAGCACACAAGCTGCAACTATTACAATGGGCACCACCCAACCTGTTCTAATCTTTTAATCTGCTTTATACAATCGAGAATAGAACAGGAAGAGAGGGAACACCTAAACTTCTAGATGGACAGTAACACGGCTATTAATAGTCACAGAAGATCTTGCCCTCTATGATGTAAGAAGCTAGTGAGGTAACACCCAAAATTCAACAGTAGGAATCATAATACCTTCCACTAGATGTTGCCGTACATCTTGTTCATTGAGAAAAGTAAACAAGAAATCTTTGGTCACCACGGGCATGTTTTCCACTTTTGAGGACAACTTGTATTTTCCAGGCTTATGCACCAGGCTGTTGGAACCGTACCAAGTAGCTCAAAGCCTGTTTTATTTGCATAATACGCACCAGGTCAAATTCCAGTGTTTTTCTTGAAAACAAATCCTGAAAGATTTTGATATTGCTTTTGGGGAGGACTGTAGTTTTGCATAGAGTATGGGAGGATCACAACCCCTGTCAGCTTTTATTTTTTTTATCATCTATGTCCCATTTGAGGAGCTTTCATTTTACTTCCTATCCAATAGCCAGGACAGGATGATTGCAGAAATCCTTCCAAAGTGAGGGAAATCCCTGGTGGTCACCAGAACCCATGTCCCATTGGAAGATTTCCAATCTATCCCTGTTCTGCTGACAACCCAAATTTGGGATTTTGTTTTACTTTCAGATAATGGGCATTAGGACAAATAGAGAGGCTGGATCTCCCTAATGAGGACACGGCAATAAAAACCTCACAGGGGGTCCTAATCCCGCTCCACGTTATGCATAACTTGGGCTGCAGTTGCACTGTAATGCTTCTGCATAAGACTGTGGGGGTGGAACAGGGCACAAACGGTTAATTTCTTAATGATCAGGGGGTTTGCAGGTGTTGGGCTTTTGAGTCATTATTGGGTGGAGATTGGATTCTAGTTAGCAGAGATCAGCTTATAGGGATCATTTTATTTGTCATAGGTGCAATCTATTTTAAAATGTCTTTAGTCCATTTTCTGCCACTTTGGACACTCTTCCTGGTTTGGCATGACAAGGATTGAACATGGACAGCACTGCAGAGTCAATGTTTTCTTATGTGTGTTACTAGGTGTTAACCGCCCTCTTCACTATCTCCAGCATGGTCACAGTCACTACACGGCAGATGCCAGGAAGCGTGATGCTGAAGAGGGAGTGACGGAGAAGCTGCAGAACGGAGACCTGGACCACATAATCCCCCCTCCAGGCAGCAGCGAGTCTGATCTCCGACAACATCCTGGCGATGAGAAGGTTGTGGTGGGGTCGCTGGCAGTACAGGTTGGTTACATGCATCACCTACTTGATGTGTTTCTGCCCATCATCAACCGGTCCACTTTTATCTTGTAATAGTCTGATTATGGTCAACCGCTGATAATTGATGGGAATCCAGGAAGATGTTGGGAGTGATGGGCAGGTAGAAGGCGCCACTCACTACATAAAAAGGGATTTTATCAAGCAAGCTTTGATTTTATTATCAGGAACCACTCTAGTATGTATTCCTATTACAATGCTGATGTTATAACAGGAGAGGATATGCTGGGACTTTACATCACCTTGAAATTGTAGTATCTGTGGACAGCTAGACGGGTTTTTGCAGCAGACTATCCAGCAAAGGGTAATGCTAGCAATTGCTCTGTTATAATGACGGCCTGCCATTTATATTTTGTCTCCCATACAGGACCTACCGGGTCAGCAGAGTTCTTGTTACTGGTTAAAAGGGATCCGTTACTCTGACATTGGCACGCTGGCATGGATGATCACTCTCAGTGATGGGTTACACAACTTCATAGATGGCCTGGCTATTGGAGCCTCGTTCACGGTGTCTGTCTTCCAAGGCGTCAGCACGTCCATTGCAATCTTGTGCGAAGAGTTCCCACATGAGCTTGGTAGGGATGGATTACGTTGCCTCTGTTTTAAATAAAATGTATGTCTGTACATCTGAAAGAGGTAGGGCTAATTTTGCTATTGAACGTTCCAAATAGTAGAGATCATTCTATTACCCCCTCACAAGTAAATGCTCCCACTACAGACTACTGGGGTCCGAGGGCCGCACAATAAATACAAAGGGACTGAGCGTTTCAAAACAAGGGCTCTGGACTATAGCAGTAACAATGTGATGTTCTGTGTTTGCATAGAGCCATGGTGGGCAACTCCTGGCCCTCCAGCTGTTGTGGAACTACAAGTCCCATGAGGCATTGCAAGACTGATGTAGGCATGTTGGGATTTGAAGTTAAAGCACAGCTGGAGGTCTTGAGTTGCCCACCCTTGGCATAGTGTTCTAAAATTGTGCAATGGTTGTGTCTGGTGGCTCATGTTGTTATAAGGTGTACTGCCATACAGTGAAATTAAATTGTATTATATCCAGAGGTCCAGGGCGCAATGGAGTTCTAGAATCTTAAAGAAGGAACTTTGACATCAACCCCTTTTTATGCTGGGTTGTCCTTTAATAAACAAACGTATCCAGCAATGATCTGTTGTGATCTGCTGCACACCCGCTCCTTTGTCATCGGGAGCTGGCTGCCTCTTCTAGATTCTTGCAACGGCCCCTCATTGGCAGGTCCAGGTCCCTCTGCCTCCATAGCTGTGAATACTTCAGCTGATACCTCCCAGGATATCTTATGTGGGTATCCCAGGAGCAGGGGGATGTCATTCTAACCTAGGCGGGCAAAGTGGTGTAGACTGTAAATTAATAATCCTAATAATAAAAATGTCCATGTAAAAAAAAAAAATGATGTACGGCTGTATAATAGAACTGCATACAGTCCATTTCCATAGGGCAGTACCCTGTCATTGCACCATGTAAAACCGCTGACCTTTTCATTTACAAATACAGATTGTTCTTATCTTATAACCCTGAGGACATAATAAAACAATTGGCTACACAAGCCCGCTGTAAACTAGACAAACTTCTTCACCTGAAAAGTCTCCTTAGAACTAAAGTACATTGGCGCGGTGTACGAGATTATTGATTAGCCATCAGAATCTCCTTAATTTCCTGTGTTTGTTTATATTGCAGGTGATTTTGTCATCTTGCTGAACGCCGGGATGAGCATTCCTCAGGCTCTTTTCTTCAACTTCCTGTCCGCCTGCTGCTGCTACCTGGGCCTGGGCTTTGGGATCCTGGCCGGCAGTCATTTCTCCTCCAATTGGATCTTTGGACTGGCAGGAGGGATGTTCCTGTACATTGCACTTGCTGACATGGTACGTATAAACAAGCGGTGACCTTGTCCCGTCCCATCGCTTTTCAGAGTAATGTTTTGATGAATAAATAAGCGTGCAGCCAAACTTCATTTCACATTTAGATATTGTTCTCCTTCCCGGAATATAGCTGGACACAGCTGAGAGAATTTTATTGCACCCCTTATTCTGATTGGAATGCTATTCACTTTTTATAACATTTTAATAGAACATGTTCCCCAATTTTTTTAATATCACATAATCTAGACCAGGCCTTCTATTTCTGGGGTTTTTATTTTTTACTATATTAAGGAAAAATGATTGAAAATGTTTGAAAAAAAGTTTAGGAAACAATGATTATTAACCCAAGGAAACCCAACAAAATGGTTTAGTCATTCAACTTCTCCTTTCTAAATTCATGGAATTGAATCCTGCTATAAAAAGGACAAATTGTTACCTTGCACATAAAACCCCAAAATGGTTTAATTTTTAATAGGTTGATGAGGTCTATAGAACCCGATTCATCTTTCATGATGGCTTTCAGATTACTGTGCACACAGCACCGCCTAGTGGCTGATATTAGGTACTGCACCACTGCCTCTTGAAATTCTATAAATAATCTGTTTTCAGTTGACTCCTGGGAACCACGGCAGCTTAGCGTGATTTACGGTTTAAATACCTCACGTTTTATGTCTCTGCAGATTATGGCCTGCGGGAGAACAATGTGGCCATTTATTTTCTAGATCTACACTACAGCAAAGTAAAACAGAGGTGTTCCTTATAGAAACCAGTCAGGTTTTCTGGGCTTGCGCATAATGTAGGTTGGACACTGAAAGCTGGCTCTTGTTGGAGAAAAAAAAGTGGTGCAAAGTTCTTTTACTTTGTGTAGTCAACGAGCACAGACGGTTATCTCCCAAGTCACATTTCTAAAAAGTGCATCTTTCTATGAATGTGGCACGAACTTGTTCTGTTCAGATTGCCAGAAGAGGATTGCACCATTTTGTTGTAGGAAATTCAAGGTTTGAATCCACCAGATGCATTTCCAGTGCAGATGACACTCAGACCAGAGAAATTTCATTTTGCTTGTAGTATGGCCCATTCTTACCAGCATGTTTCTCTGAGGTGTGCTGTGCCCTGTTTGCTGTATCATTGGTGTGGTGTGAAAAAATCAGATAGGCTTTAAGGCTGAGCCGATGTGTACAGCCAGCATCCCTTGCTTGTGCTGGGAGCACACTTGCATGGCGCCCCCTGCGCAGTGACCATGCAGACACTGACGGCTTCAGGTGACTGTTTATGATCATGTGATCACTGTGACTACCAGTCACAGAGATTCCATATCCAGGAAGCCTATGCATTGCCACCTGCCTTAAAAACGTGACAATGACGCCTGTAGCTGCAAGCACCTTGGAGCAATTCATTCTCAATTTCTATAGCAGAAGCTCTCAATTCGTTATCTGTTAGCGGACTAGCTCCTCCCACCCAGAGCACCTGTGTTGTATATTCGCCAGTTAAAGGCTGCAAAGTCAGTGCCGGGTGGGGAACTGAGCTGCTGAGTGAATGACTTGAAGCAGTCCTGTAGTGTGTATGTGTTGAAGAGTAAATAATTAGAAATAGCAGCTACTTGTAGGTCTATTCACAGAAGGGTGAAGCGTTTGGAGAAGGTGGGAGAAGGGAACAATCTAGGACAACATAACTGGACTGGAAAGTGAGCTGAATTGGAGAATTTTTCCTAATCGTCTATTTTGGCCTAGACTGTTCACTTCTCCTTCCCGCCTTCTCCAAACCTTAGTGAATAGACCTGTTAGTTTTTGTAACTAACACATTTTTAAACTGCATATGTTTGGCAAGAATATACTCTACTAGGCAACCCACAACTCCCCTCGGTCCCTTTCACAGCCGCTACTGGTACGTAAGGAAAAGCTTGTAACTCCCGGATATAGAAAATTAAAGGAGTTGCTGTCCCATCATATCCCCTCCTGTCATAACATCAGCATTGTAATAGGAATACATACTGGAGTTGTTTTTGATGGCGGCCTCACGGCTTACTTTTTTATGTAGTGCATGCTGCCTTCCATCTGCCCATCACTTTCCTGGATTCCAAGTGTGCTCTGCGTCTTTCCCTACTGCTTGATGTGATGCAATTTCTCAATTTCATAAAACTACATATCCCATCATGCATTGCTTCCAGCAAGCAATGATGATATTGTTCAGGTGTTGAGTTGTTGTTTAGACGGCAGCCTGTGTGAGAGTGGTGAGACAAGGAAGTACAATTATGTCAGTGCATTGAGTAAATGACACCCTATGGGCATATTCAATAATTAAGTTTACAAAACCTCTAGATCCTTGTTTCTCAACTGGTGGGTCTTGACCCAAAAGTGGGTCGTGACCCCGTGTTCAGTGGGTCGCCGTGTGGCTGTAACTTTTTTTTTAGGTGAGAGGCTTCTCAGGCTCCCACTAGTGCAGCACTGTTCTTGCACCAAGCAGCCATTCATATGCTGCTTGGTGCCAAGTGTCAGCTTGAGGTGGGGTGGGCTGGAACTATGGCCTCGAGGGAGCTCCATTCATAGATGCATTGCTTACAGCTCCCTCACGTGTCCTGTAGAGGTGCCTGGACTGGAGTGACGTCACATTCTGGCAAGCACTGCACACATGGATGGAGCTCTGTCACAGCACAAACAGCACACACTGGACCCCAGGCTGAGGATCCACTCCAGTTTTTGTAAGGTAGGGAGACTGGGGATCTTAAAAAAGATGATTAAAAAAAAACAAAACATTTTTTGGAGTGTGTGTGAGATTGTGTCTGTCAGTGTTTTTGAGGGCCCGTTCACACTACTACCGTGCGTTAATCGAATGGTACCGCAATGCCGTGCGGTCCATTGCAATGCGGCTTGGGTCGCAACTTAAGGACCAAGAACAAATGTGGGTCCTGAGGTTACACAGGTTGGGAGCCACTGGTCTAGATGGATCTGGTAATTGGGAGTGGGATAGAACTTATGTAAATTTAAATATAGAAATACAGATTTATTTAAAACAAATTTTGACCATAAATACCCTTTTTTTTAAAAAAAAATTAAACTGTATTCCTGCAAATGGATTTATCTTGTACTCCATTTCTTGAGATGGGCTGAATGTTTGCTGTCATTGTTATCAGTCATTCGATCAATAACTCAATCTTTAATACATCTTGCTTGCTTTTGTTTTTTCCTCCTTTTTTTTTCTAGTTCCCTGAGATGAATGAAGTCAGTAAGGAGGATGAAGAAGGAGGTCGACCCCTCACTGCTTTTCTCATACAGAATGCCGGCCTTCTCACTGGCTTCGCCATTATGCTGCTGCTCACAACGTTCTCTGGTCAGATCCAGCTGGTATAGGCCCGGGTGACTCAGAGGCCGACAAGTCCTTGATACGACGTCTCTAGTTATTTCTTTCATCGGCAGAAGAATGGTGGCCTAAATCTGACCAAAGGGAGAGGGATGTCTATGGCAACATTCCTTACTTCTTTGTATGTATGGAGCTAGAGAACCAGATATTGGCGTATGGTGGTCCAGCTAACTCTTTTTCTCAGAGGAGTAACCCTATTACATTTTATGGAGGAGAGGTTATTCTGGCCATCTCGATCATGAAGTTTCTGCAAACTGATCCAGACTTGCCAGTCTGATGTTGCATCATGGCATCTAGATGTCAATCACCTTCCGGATGTCGGACATAAGGATGTATTGGATCTGCAGCTGTTGCCAATCTGAAAACTTGCCGATTCTCCACCAAAGGGAGATGAATGTCTGGCAACATTCCTTCCTGGCATGTATGGAGGTAGAGGACCATATATGCGCGTATGGTGGTTCATCTGACTGCTCCTTATTATATTGGAAGTTATTCAAGCCATCTCGATCATGAAGGTTCTTCAATTGAATTCAGACCTACCAGTCCCATGTCACATCATGGCATCTAGATGTCAACCATCTTCCTCATGTTGGACATAAGGATATATTGGATATCTGCAGCTCTTGCCAATCTGAAAACTTGCCGATTCTCCACCAAAGGGAGATGAATGTCTGGCAACATTCCTTCCTGGCATGCATGGAGGTAGAGGACCATATATTCGCGTAGGGTGGTCCATCTGACTCAGCCTTATTATATTTCGTAGAGATTATTCTAGCCATCTTGATAATGAAGGTTCTTCAAAACTTGCCGATTTCTCCACCAAGCATGTCATGGCCTGCACCAATAATCGCTCGCTCTCCTGTTGCAACAGTCTCTGTAATGGAGAGGACACTGTATTTCAAAGACTGTTTTTAGAGAGTTTATCATATTGATAAGTGGCTTATATTCCTCCAATAAATGGACCAAATCAACTGAACAAAAGTCGGGGTAAAACCTTTGTTCCCCTTACCACCCCTTTTATGAAGGTAAATGAACTTGTGATTTCATCTCTCATCCGAACTGTGCTGAATAGAACTTCACCATTTTAAGATCAGAATCCGTTCCGTTACCGTTTACCCGGCAGTGTATTTGTGTCGGTTTCCTGTCTTGATAAGCAGACCAAGAGGTACCCAACCTTGGCCTGGGACAACTGTCCAACACTGACCAGTCCGCTGTTTCCTCTTTGCTGCTGCTCCCTTGACACCCGAAATAGTGTTTTTGATTTATATTGAAGAGGAGAAGAGAAGCTGATCTGTGTGTGAGATACACTGACATGCAGTGCGATGATCCGAGAAAGCAATAGAACTCTCTTGAATAGCACATTTATTATTGTCAGAGACTGGCCAGCATTGGCGTTTGATTTGCACATTGGCACTGTGTGTGTGTTTGAATTGATATTGTATTTAATGACTGTGGGCATAGAACAAGCCCAGCTTTAGAACTCTAGATAATGCTAGAATAGCACAGCATAGAACGTACAATGGATGTGTGCTTTTGTTGCTAAAGTAGCATAGTCCAGTGCTCCCCTCTTTTACTGCCACAGTCCCTTTTGGGTATGTTCATGTTCTTAGAGGGCCTCCAACAAGTAGCATTAGCTATCCAGTGAGACTTGCAGTGGTGACACTTAGAGAGCCCACTCGGTTTGGCCAGGGCATTTTCTGTCCATAGTCAGGATTTTGGGACATACAAAAACAATGAAGTACACCACAAGTGGACATGCCAAAAGCACGGTCATACAGATGCATAATAAGATTTTTGTACTCTCTGTAAAATTACATTCATGGAGACCATTGAGGGACACAGGTGTGTGTGTATGTGTGTCTCCAAGTGTTGAGTTGTCCTTAAGGTGGTAATATAACCCTACAGCAGATGATTTCTTGTGTCCCTCAATGGATGTGAGAAAAAAATAGACTTTTTGTACTTGCGTAAAATGGGAGGACAGAATGATATGGTGTTCAGGAGCCAGTCCGTCCATGCCTGAAGACTGTTCCATTGACAGCACCTAGAAGAAAAAAAACAAAAACCCTTCCTTTTAAAATGCTTTTGAGTCCATTAAGGGACGCAGGAAATTATCTACTGTTGGGTTATAGTGCCATCTATAGGAGGATTGAACACTAGCAACAAAAAAAAAACAGATGACTTTCAATGGCTGTCAATAAACGAGAACAGGAATTTAGCTTTGCTGCTTTTTTTAGATTATTTTTTTAAGCAAGCGAAACTTATGACACCCTGGCAACGTCTGCTTTTGGTGCAGGCCTCGTTTGTTTCTGTCCATCAGCATGAGACTCTCTAATTCTCTAAGCCTGTAATAATTTCTCTAAACAGATTCAGCTTTGGTTCATGAAATATACCTGAGCTAAGGGTGAGGCTGACCAAACACTTTCACCATCTACTTCCTGCCCAGAGATCATGACCCTTTCATATGTTGATTTAAAATAAATGGCAGAAACAAATGCAGGTTGCCCCAATTCCTGGTGACCACCGTGACTGAGACAGAAAGTGAAGGAAAATCCAATATTTTGAGTTGTCGTTAGAACATCATTACAAGATCGATGTCTATGGACAGGACGTAAGGGTCTGTTCACATGAGTTTCAGGTCCGGCTCTGCAGACGCGGTGCTACTGATGCAGTGCGTTTTTGATGCTGAAGTGGGGCTGTTAGTATTTTAGCTGCAGTGCGTTTTTGACGCGTTTGCGTTTCCTGACCGTACAAAATGTGACATGCAGTATTTTTCTGTCGTAACCTGAACGGACTGCGCACGTGAGAACTGTAGCCCAAAAAACACACAGGGATACATTGGGATGCATTTTGAGTGCAGGAGCGTATGGATCAGGTCAGCACACAAAACGGACGTCGTGTGAACAGGCCCTAGAGGTAAATCTTCCCCAGTGGGGCAGTGCTAGATTTAAAAAAAAAAAAAAAAAGGAAACCAACACTACAGATGGCTCTTAACCATTCCCTACTCTATCCAAACCTTGTAAAAAAAATAAAAATGTTTTGGCTTTACATCTACTTTAATGTAAGTAACACTATATACTGTAATGGGATACAATTAAAATGTTTGGATTTGCCTGGAGTTCAACTTTATTATAAATAAAATAGTGGGAGGGCGCACCTATTTTGCTAATGCAACCACCCATGAGAGCGGGAGAATCTGCCCATCAGAAAGAACAGGGAACACAAACTTGCTCCCGCCTCTTCGAAAGGATGACATTTGAGTATCGGCAAATTTAGTTTAAGCGATCTCTGAGGCTTCCTTGGCACTAATCTGACCACCGACCAATAGACTAAGGCCCGCCCCACACACTAATATCTGATTGTACAATCCCCTTTTAGATCTACCAGCAAATGTACTGCAAGGGCCTGCCTGATTAGATAGATTAGGCCGGCCCTCATATTACATGTGATGTGTAGGGCAAGCTTGAGTCTAAAAGGGTTGGCAATCTGAATTAAAAAATGTTGCTTTTAGAAGAAAAGGCTCTTCAAACACTAGTACCTCCCTAACTTGGTTGTTATATTTTAATTTTGTGCTGTCATGGGGGAGCATGGGTGGGAAA